CGACTAAAGGGGTGAGTTGCAGGCAGGGTTGAGCCTGAGTTGAGCATCTTGATTTCGTTGGCGAAATACAGGTGCTGAGTTGCGTGAATCCCAAAGAGCTACGCCTTCTCCATGTCGCAGGATGGAACAATTATCACGAGTGGAGCTTCGAGCTTTCTCCTAAGCCGTGAGGCAAACCTGAAACAAAGTGCAGTCAGTCTATACAGCTTAATAAGAGACGAATATTTATAAATGAGATCCCAATGATAACTTAGCTTTTGAGCTGAAGCAAAGAGTGAGACATTGGGTCTCACTTCGAGCGGGCTGGTTAGAGTTGAGAATTTCTTTTGCTCTGGCCAATGATCTTGATCTAGAGTCATCCATAGAGGACCTTTCCACCAGAGCTCTAATCGTTGAAGTTGATCTGTCGAAATGCCTCGGGAAGCACAGTCGGCTGGATTAGACGCACCTGGAACATGCTTCCAATGCGCATTTGGAGTGAGTTCTTGGATCTGAATGTCTCTGTTCCGAACATAATCCTTCCAACGTGATGCTTGCGATTTGATCCATGTGAGGGAGACTTGAGAATCCGTCCACAGGTGCGTTGTGTTGATCTTCACCTTGAGCGTTGTTTGAACATAAGTGTATTTGGCGAGCTTCGCCAGTAGGAGTGCTGCAGACAACTCCAATCTGGGGATGGTGAGCCTCTTCAGTGGTGCAACTTTTGTCTTGGAACAGACAATTGACGTCGTTGAGTGGTTGGACGGTGAGCTAACAGTGATATGAATCACTGCTGCCATGGCAAGTTGAGAAGCATCACAGAATCCATGAATATCCACAGTTGAATTGCTCCATGTGTTGAACCATCTTGGAATCGATAGCTTGGCCAAGCTGTTGAGATCTTCTCTGATGATGAACCATCGTGAAATGATTTGAGACGGTAATGGATTGTCCCAATTGATTTTGTGTAGCCAGAGCTCTTGTAATAGCATTTTGGCTTGTACTATTACCGGTGAAACGAAACCTAATGGATCAAATATCCGAGCTACTTCGGACAATACGAGGCGTTTTGAACACTTACTTGGTTGATCTGTGATCGTTGATAAAAAGCCAAATGTGTCGGTTTGAGGCATCCATTGAATTCCGAGTAATTTGGTAGTGCAGTCGTCGAATGATATGAGAGCTGACGATTGTGTGGATGAGGAAACAGCCCTCAGTAAATCGGGGTGAGTCGCATGCCATTTTGCGAGTGGAAATCCGCCCGCGTAGCACAATGCAATCAGCTGTTGAGCGACCTCTCCTAGTTCCGTTACTGAATTTGCTCCTCCAAAAATATCGTCCACATATCTCCCATGTGTGAGCGAAGGCGTTGCCAGAGGGAATCGATGACCCTCATCGTGAACCAGCTGCATGAGTGCTCGTGTCGTTAGGAAGGGAGCCGCTTTTGTGCCATACGTGACAGTTGTGAGCTGGTAAGGAATGACATTGCGGTCTTCATCGATCCAAAGAATTCGCTGGAGATCCCAATCATCCTTGTGAACTGCTACCTGGCGATACATTTTCGTGATGTCTGTGGCAAAAATGTGGTGATAATGGCGGAGCCAAATTAGAACATCTGTAACATTTAAGAGCAGATTAGCACCAGTATGCACTTCAACGATTTATCGTTGACTGATTTGCCTGATGTCGTAGCTTTTGATCCGTTGAATACAACCCTGAGCTTTGTTGTTGAACTGTCGAGGCGTAGAACTCCATGGTGAGGCAAATAATATGGTTGAAGATGAGCAGAGGACTAAGGTGTCGAACCGTCAGAAGAGACCCTCAACCCTCTTGATGCCGAAGCATCATGTGCCAAGGTCATCTCCCCATCAGGCCCAACGTTCTCAGCCTCTCTTGATGTGATCCGCTGATGATCTGGAGCCTTTACCATGTGTCCCAATTCTTCGTACTCTTTCATGAACTCGACGTAGAGTTGGTTGTATGTTGAATCCTTGGAGAGTCGTCGCAATGTGCTTTGCAGACATCTTTGAGCAATCTTGTGCGAATTGCCTAGTAGTGATGCTAGTGCCTTGAGTGGAATGCGAATGATGTACCTTCCTGTATGGTCACGAGAGTGAGTTGCACAGAAATGGGCTTCGCATTCTTCTTCCTCCAGTGAGAGTGTGCTTGGAACGTCCATCGGTGACTCCTCTTGAACCCAGAATTTTGTGAGCAGCTCTTGCAGATTACTCTGGTCATCGTCAGCAACTGCAAAATGTGAATAATTAGTATTTGTAGATGATTCGTTGACTGGGCCGATGACGAGCCATCCAAAAATGGAAAGTTAAGCAATTGGTATTGTTGATGAGCCCTTGATGATATTTGGCTTGATGATCCTTCCGTAGAAATCCGCTCCAATGATTACGTCGACTGGTCGTGGTGTCAAGAAATCATTGTCCGCCAACCTCAGTTTTCTGATGTGAGGCCAATCTGGAGTTCTCATTGAGAACGATGGCAGGATTGTCGATACGGCTGTGAGCACGTACGCCTGCATTGAAACGGTCTGTTGTGAATGTGTTGACTGCATTGTGATATCCACCACACCGCGAGTTTCAGTTGATTTTGTTCCACCAACACCAATTATTGTGATGGATGATCGGTGTCTCCGAAGGTTGAGCAGGCTGGTGAATTCTTCGGAGATGAATGAAATTTCGGAACCTGGATCGATGAGTGCGCGAATTTGGTGAACCGTCGTACAGTGGGCCGGGATCGTGTAGTGGGTGGACAAAATTCATACCTCTCGTAATTATGCAGCATTTATTACAAAGAGGACAGTATTGGCGCTTTTTTAACACGTAGATGTTTTCAATTAGATGTTTTTTCACCTTTATGTAGTTTATTAATAACTGTCTACTGATTAAGTAAAATAATTCCTGATTGCAAGCTTTATAATGTGTATATATATATATATATTTTTCAGTGTATAAAGTTTTATTTTGTTAGTTGAAAATTATAATCTAGAGAATTTAGTTGAAGAACAGATTAAAACAATTAATAAAATGATCGATAAACAATATTTATTAACTAAATACGGAGCGAAACCAATATTTAAAAATGAATATTAATAATTAACCAATAATGTTGATATTTAGACATTTATAAATATTTATAAAATAGAAACAATGGTTAGAATGATATTAATAATTTACAATGTTCATAATTTGATATTTAAATATTAATAATTAATAAATAAGATATATAACTAAGTACTCTATATTATAATGCTTATAATTTAATATTTATATTGAATATTCATAATTAGGTGTCCATAAATAATATTAAGCCTTATCTTAATTATAATCTAAATAGTTATTATTACTATCATTTTCTTCGTCGGAAATAAGGTCTGTCGTTTGATCGCTCAAAAGAAAATACATATCTCTAGTAATATATGATTTTTTGTCAGGAAGTGTTCTAAAGCTTGATATATAAGGGTCAGATGAAATCAGTAGATTGTGGAGGATGTCAGTGTTCGTATCTGCTCTTAATGTTTTACGGGAGAATCCTTCTCTAAATCTTTTTTTTCTTTACGACGAGATTCTTGAACCTCCTCCGATAATTGACCAATTGGAAGTAATAGTGAAGATATGACTGCCGGTCCGTGTATCAATATTTTATGAATGGTGACTGGCATAGGATACCAGTCATAAAGACGAACGTACAGTTCAGCTGTATCACTTGTGTAAGCATCGAAAGCTGAAATATTTATCCTCAATCCAGAAAACAATGCCCTTAGTATTATAGAAAATCTTTCTATGAAGTTTAAATCAATTCCGGTAATGGCTGTCGTCAGTGTGGCACTTTGAAAAAACCTACGGGCAGAATTTCCATCATTTGTATTTCCATCTCCCTGCTTGGGCATGTCAAGCAGTAACCCAGTTTCCGCACGGAATCTTTTAATAATTATATCTTTCCTTTCAGCTACATTCTTTTTTTCTTCACTATTTCTTGCTTGCCATTTTTTAATACTCAATTTATAAGAAATGTAAAGAAGACACTCCATAAATCTTATGTAGGCATGTAGAGTCGATAACCCCCAGAAGAATGTTTCCAGGTTACATTCCCTTTTCCGAACTTCCTCTAGATTATTTATATGTGTGGGACTAGCTTTACATATATAACATCTTTGACTAGATTTAGTGTTTGAAAGAACATTACACACCTGTATATGCAGCGCAGCGTCGACAATATTTTGCGACGATTGAACGTTGCGGTGAAGTTCAATGTTTTGAATTATAAGTGGACTGTATGTAAAATGAATGCACTTGATGTGAGTACTATACTGTATTTCTACTTTATTTGGTGAACCTTTGGAGAGTGTGTGAGTTGTTTCAAGAGTGTCTTCACGAGAATGTCTTGTCAGGGAACTTGCTTCAGGTTTTTATATTTTGGACAAGGAGTACTGTTCAAAAGTTGATCGGGTTCGAGATTGTACGAGCGTTCGAGATCGCGAGAATCGGTTCGGTTGTAGGATCGGCAGTGAGACGGGAAACGAATGAAATTGCACTCGAGATTGCACAAAAAACAAACAAATGTATATTTACAGGCACAAATGAACACTATATACAGTATTTACAATGATCGTTGATCGTACGATTCACCCGCGTCGCGGTGAATTTGCGTTGAGATTGCGCTGTGTTGAACCAACACGTGGTCACCACGAAATTGTATTAACTTCGTGGATTTGCACGAACGCGATTAGTTGCGAGTTCGCGTTAGCCGTCGGCACAAATTTCGCGTTGCGATACTGAGTTTTTGAACCGAGATTCGTTAATTTGTAAGAGAAATTTAGTAACTTTGTATTACACGTGCGTGAACGAGACGGTACAAAACCGTAATGGCCGAGCCACCGGCTTCGTCGTTGCAAGAGCCGTTGGCTTCTTCCCGGTGACGTCAAGCTCGGTGATTGGTTGGCCTGACCGGCATCCAAGGTGGCTGCCGGTCGCGCTGCAGAGTGCTGCCGCGGTCCGCGTGGCGACGGTTTACATTAATGCATTTTCGAACATTCCGCCCGCCATCAGCAGCTCGTAGAAGATGGTGATGTGTTCTGCTCTGCAACTGGAAGTAGTGCCAATTTTGCAACTGGCCGCGTTAGAGTTGAGGTGGCCGTCTTGATCGTGACGACCCTCGTCAGTCCATCTGGTCCAGGGTGAACTGCGAGCACTCGAGCAAGAGGCCACTTGCATGGTGGGAAGCGCTCGTCTGTAAGCAGCACCAGAGATCCAACGTGGATGTTGTTGGAAGGGTGATGCCACTTCAAGATTGATTGCATCCGTTGTAGGTGTTGAGATGTGCAGCGCTTCCAGAACTGTTGTAACTTCTGTTGTATGAGATGCCACCTGGCTCTCGGTGAGATGTTGGCCTGTTCAACAGATGGCTCAGGCAATGTTGAGATTGCTCTTCCGATGAGGAAATAAGCTGGTGTTAGCACTGAGAGATCGTCAGGGTCGTCCGTGAGAGGCTCCAGTGGTCGTGAATTAAGCGTTGCTTCAATCTGATTTAGAAGAGTATAATATTCTTCAAAAGTGAGTAAAGTGTCACTCACCGTACGTCTGAGGTGATATTTGACGGACTTGACCACTGCCTCCCACTTTCCTTCCATGTGCGGTGCAGCAGGTGGATTGAAACTCCAAGTTGTGTGGTCGTTGACGAACAGCTTGGCCAATCGTTGATTGTCTTGAGTGCCCTCGACGAACATTGATTTCAATGCTGAATCTGCTCCGATGAAGTTCGTTCCGCAGTCGGAGTAGATTGTATGTGGAATGCCTCTTCTTGCAGCGAACCGTCGGTACGTAGCAACGAATCCATCCGTTGAATAGTCGGTGACCAATTCCAAATGAACTGCAGACGTCGTCATGCAAACGAAAACACAGATCCATCCTTTCTGTGTCTTCGCACCTCGCCCCTTCCACGTCTTGAGTGCGATGGGACCGGCGTAGTCTACGCCGGTGTGTGAAAATGGGTGTGAGGGTGTAACCCGAGAGAGAGGTAGTTGGCCCATCAGTTGATGGGCACGGATCCCCCTCTGCCGAGCACACACAACACACCGCAGGATGTGAGATTTAACTGGAGCTCATCCACCGATGATCCAGTAAGTCTGCCTGATGTGAGCGAGTGTAAGTTGTGTCCCTCCATGAAGCGTTGCTTTGTGGGAGTGATCTACAATCAATTCGGACAGACGTGAGTGACGTGGAAGGATTGCAGGGTGTTTACCTTCGTAGGTTAACTGAGCGTTGCTGAGTCTTCCTCCAACTCGAATAACCCCTTGATTGTCGATGAAGGCCGTGAGTCGATTGAAGGCGTGGGACGATGGTAGCGTTTGGTTGTTGACCATCATCTTGAGCTCGTGTGAGAAGTATGCTGATTGTGTGGCCTTGATCCAGAAGATTTTGGCCCTTTCCAAATCAGCTGGTGTGTTCGAGAGCCTCGTTGAAGCAGTTGTCCTTCTCAGTTTGGAGATGAACCTGTAACAAACTGAGGTAACATGAAAAAGTTTTTGCAAAGATGAATATTTGTGAATCAAGTCCCAGTGATAATCGATTTTTTGGCACGTTAACACGTGCGAGATTCCTGGACGACACTCCTGCAGGCAAGTGTCGTCAGATGCATTGCGTTGTACAGGCCATGATTCTTGAGATTGTAAAAGCCACGGTGGTCCCCTCCACCATAGCTCGTGTTGTTCAAGCTGAGTTGTAGTCAATCCTCTTGAAGCGCAATCAGCAGGATTTGATGTGCCAGGAACGTGCATCCAAATTGCAGTTTGCGTTAGTTCTTGAATTTGTGTTACACGATTCCTGACGTAATCTTTCCATCGTGATGCGTGAGATTTGATCCATGTAAGTGTTACTTGAGAATCCGTCCACAGGTGAATTGTAGCAATGTTGAGTTTGAGATTAGCTTGAACGTATTTCAGTAATTTTGCAAGTATCAGCGCAGCTGTGAGCTCGAGTCGGGGAATTGTAAGTTTTTTGAGAGGTGCGACCTTTGTCTTGGAGCACACCAGTGACGTCACCTTGAGATCTGTGGACGGCGAAAAAACAGTAATGTAAATTACTGCTGCCATGGCGAGTTGTGAAGCGTCAGAGAAGCCGTGTAATTCCACTGTAGAATTGTTGTAGGTGTTGAACCACCTTGGTATTGAGAGTCTGGCCAGACTTGTGAGATCTTCTCTGATCGCAATCCATCGTATAGTAACATGGGATGGCAGTGGATCATCCCATTTGAGATTGAGAAGCCATAATTCTTGCAGGAGTACCTTCGCTCGAATAATGACTGGTGACAAAAAGCCAAGCGGATCAAATATCTGTGCTACTTCAGATAATACAAGGCGTTTTGTAAAATTGAGATTGTGGTGAGATTTAGTAGTGAATGTGAAACTATCGTTGACAGTGTTCCATCGCAATCCGAGTATTTTGGTATTGCAGTCGTCTAGTGAGATTGATGTACCTTGAGAATTATTGCAAGACACGATGGTTTCAAGCAGAGAGGCTTCGTTTGAGTGCCACTTTGCAAGAGGGAAACCGCCCGCGTTGCACAAGTCAGTTAATTGTGAAGCAATTTCAATTAACGAATCAAGAGAATCTGCACCACCAAATATGTCGTCGACATACCTTGCATATTTGATTGATGGTACTGCCAGTGGGTAACGTTGACCCTCGTCCTCTGCAAGTTGCAACAGGGCTCTGACAGCAAGAAATGGTGCAGCTTTGGTACCGTAGGTGACTGTTGTCAGTGTGTATGGGACTTCATTTGATTCCTCATCTATCCAGAGTATCCGTTGGAGATTCCAATCGTCTTCATGTACTCGTACTTGACGATACATCTTTGTGATGTCCGTGGCGAATATGCATTTGTGATGGCTAATCCACAGCAAAACGTCGTTGATATTCAGCAGGAGATTCGCACCAGTGTGCATGATGTCGTTGACAGAAAGTCCAGTTGTTGTTGGACTTGAGCCATTGAAGACGACCCGCAGCTTTGTTGTTTCACTGTCAGGCTTGAAAACTCCGTGATGTGGAAGATAGTAAATTGAAGAGTCGTTGGGCGAGATTGAAGAAGCCTTCTTCATGTGACCGAGGTCCTCGTACTCCATCATGAACCGCTGATATTGCTCACGGTACTCAGGATTTCGAGTGAGCTTGCTGAGCGTGCGTCGCAGGCAGGAGCGAGCTGTGCTGTAAGAGGTACCCAAGACTTTAGTTTTGAGAGGAATACGCACCACGTATCGCCCAGTAGAATCACGGCTGTGCGTTGCACGAAAGTGATCTTCACACTCTTGTTCGTCCGGTGTGAGTTGAGATGTGTTTTCCGTTGGAAGCTCCTCTTGAATCCAGAATTTCGTCAGCAGTTCTCTCAGAGCAGCGTCGCTGTCTTGAGAGATTGATGCATTAAATGATGAATAAGCACGAGCTTGACGCCTCCTTGCTGGTCCAATAACGAGCCATCCGAATATTGAGAGCTGGGCGACTGGCATTGATGGCGAACCTTTAATTACATTTGATTTTATAATTCGTCCATAATTGTCGGCACCGATGATGACGTCAATGGGTCGTGGTTTGTAAAACTCAGGATCTGCCAACTTGAGACGATTGAGATGTGGCCAGTCTTGCTGGGGTGCCTCAGAAGACGGCAAAATTGTGGTTAGAGTGCGCAACACATGAGTTTGTATTGAGATCGATGAGGTATTGTAAAGAGATTGTAAATGTAGTGATACAATACCTCGAGTTTGTGTTGATTTCTTGCCACCAATGCCAGTGATGGAGATTGAAGATTGAGTGCGTTGAAGTCCTAGCTGTTCGACGAGATCTTCAGAAACGAAACTGAGCTCCGATCCGGAGTCGACGAGCAGCCTTGCGTTGTAGGTCGTGGATGAGGTGATGACTTGTGCATGTGCTGTTGCTAACAGCGTTAGCTCGGCTTGCGTCGCAAGCGAGCTTGATCGTTGATCGTTTGTGTTGGCGGTTGTACTGGATCGTTGACCCGTTGAGATCGAGATTGAGTGCTTGACGACTGCACCTACACTTTATTGTGTTTGTGTTGAAGAAGACGACGTTGTCGGATTCTCTTGTGTTGCCGCAGGCTTGGCTGTGGTCTGTGGCTGCGTTGCAGCCAGGTGTAGAATTGTGTGATGAGGCCGTCCACACTGTTTGCAACGGTGTTCAGACTTGCAATTCGCAGTGGTGTGACGGCCGCAACAATTTCTGCACAGAGACAGTTTGTCCACTAGACTTCGTCTTTCTGGTACAGGCATCGACCTGAACTTTGTGCATGACACAATGAAGTGGTCGGCCTGACAACAGTCGCACGGATAGGCGTGTGCGGCTGCTCTTGTGATGGTGTTAGCCTGTGTTGTCAAGGCAGGTCGTTGACCTGTTGGTTTCGCCTTTGCCTGAGGTTGAGCAGGCTGATTGTTGGCCGTTGGCGTTTCAACCCTTTCTAGAGCCCGTGCCTTGGTCGTCAGGAACGCCTCCAGTTGCTCTGGCTTCGGAAATTCTTCAGAGTTTCCTAGGCTGGTTTCCCAAGCCTCTCGCGTAGTCTTGTCAAGACTACGAGAGATGTGATGGATGAGTGTGCAATTCCACAACTCGTCGGTTGAAGCAAGAGCGCGCAACGAGGTGTTAAAATCGCGCAAATTGGCCGCCACGTTGTGGAGAACCATTGCGCTCTTCTGTTGCACTGGTGATGTCGCACTGAGCTTGTCAAGCAGAGATTGTACGATGATTCTCTTGTTCTCAAAGCGTAGCTTTAAATTCTTCCAAGCAATTGGGAAGGATTCTCCTGTCGCCGGCAGGTTGGAGATGGCGCGTAGCGACTCCCCTTGGAGGCTCGACCTCAAGTAATGCAGCCTCTCCACATCAGATAATCGGTGATTATCGATGATTATTGATTTGAAAAGCTCGCAAAACGCAGGCCACGCTTCATAGCGACCCGCGAAAGTGGGAAGCGTCAATTCAGGGAGCTTTGACGGCCCTTGTCGTGATGGTGATGCTGCACGCGCTGCGTGCAGCCTTGCGAACGCGGCCCGAAACTTGCACAGACGTCGTCTGATTTCGATGACCACGCTCATCTCGAGGTCGTAGCAATTGTCGCTAACATATGGATGGGAGTTCTGACCCGAAGGCCAGGTAACTTCAAGGTAGGAATGCTCCTTTTGGAACGCCTTGTGTATTTCATCGACCTGCTTGTCGATGAAGTCGATCTCGTCGAGAGAAGTTTCATCCATCATTTCCGGCATCTTGTTTGCATTAATTTGCGGAGGCCTTCGACTCTACTCATTTGCGTCTTGGCCTTCATGGACAACTCCGTTGACAAGCCGGCAGGAGATGAGGCGCGTGTTACGCGTTTTTCCACCGTCGGTGGAGGTGCTTCTGCCGGTAGTACCGTCGGCACTGTCAGCGTTGCTGATGTCACCGGCGTGGGTGACGTCGGTCTTGAGGCCGACTTGGCTTCCTGTGGCGTCGCCTTGGGAACTTTGTCACCTTTCTCACTCATTCTAGTCACTGAGTTCGAGATTTCACTAACAACGTTGTTGCCGAGCACAACCCGTCACTGCCGATCCGGCTCGAAGGACCAAAAAAAATGTTCAAAAGTAGGCGTTCGAGTTTGAGATTGTGCGAGACCGGTTCGGTTGTAGGATCGGCAGTGAGACGGGAAAATTATGTACTTGAGTTTGCACAACAAACAATGTATTTACAGACACTCAGTATGTACACTATTTACAGAAAATTGTGCGTTGCACGAAGGTACAATGATCGTTGATCGAGCTATTCGCACACGCGTCGCGGTGGATTCGAGATTGTGCTTGCGCTGTATAGGACCACGTGTTAGCGTAGCACGTGGCACCACGTAATTATATTAATCACGTGGAATTGCGTACGTCAAAGCTAATCGCGAGTTCGCGTTGGCCGTTGGCACTTCACACGCGGTTAACTTGCAGTACTGGTTCTGAGATTGAGCTTGAGAAATTTGCCTTTCGAGAAAACTGTGTTCGCACGTGTTCGTAGTATGCTAACCAGAACAATAATGGCCGATCAACCGGCTTCGTCGCAGCAAGAACCGTTGGCTTCTTCTTGCTGACGTAACGCTCCCTGATTGGTCGGCGTGACCGGTATCCAAGGTGGCTGCCGGTCGCGCTGCTAAGTGCTGCCGCGGTCCGCGTGCAGGCGGTAGAAATTACATTTTCGAACAAATACAATAAAAGAAAATCCAGATTATTAATTACAAAATAGTTTGACCTAAAATAAAATACAAAGAAAAAAATTAATTGATTAGTGAACGCGACTCTAGATACGATTACGAAAACTCTAAATCTATAACTTGAATTTATAAAATAAAATTATTCAAATAAATTGTTCGATTGTCGGAAAATTGGCGTGGATCCGTTCCGACACTTTAGGAGCTAACCCGTTCGGCCGCAGTACGATTTCTGGGCAATTTAGCCGTCACTGATAGGCCGCATCCAAGGAGCTTCTGCTTTCGCTCGCTCGTTAAGCTTGGTTGCGAACACTGCAGGACGGTATCGTCGCTCTAGAGCCAGTGTACTAATAGGCCGCATCCAAGGAGCTTCGGCTTTCGCTCGCTCGTTAAGCTTGGTAGCGAACCTGACACGTATGAGAACCGCTGCGAACCGGTGGTCGAGCGCTCCGGGTCTGACGCCTTTGCCGCCTTGCCGACAAAAGAATCTAAGCTACCGGAAACCTATGTAGTAAACGTATCATAGAGTCCGTGTCGGACTACGATCAGAATCGAAGTGAAACAGCTCCTCGTGGAACGCTCGTATTTATACCCGAGATCTGTTTACGTAGCAGTTTTTTCTACACGCGTTTTCGATACCGGAAGTGTTTGGACTTTGACCGGAGTGTACGTGACTCCGCGCGTATCGCTGTCTCTGTCTATGCGTTATTCCTATCTCTATCTATGTGTCCTACGTCGATCTTTTATCGACGCGGTAATTATCGATGTATATTTTTGAGTATAATTTTTGTTAAGTATAAATATAATTAAATACAAGATTCTTTTCCTATTTGTTAAATATGAATGTAATTACTAATCGAGATCATGTAAATACAATAATAAAAAAAAAAACGAAGTGTTACAACTTTAATTGTATAAAAAAAAATAAATGTATATTTTAATAATTAATAATGATGGGCTTTGTATTTATTCTTCCTCTTGCGGGATGTTACAGCCTTCCCCCTGTGTTGGTCTCTTGCCCTCAAGAGACTTTTTTGTTTGTTGTTCCTGGTGTAACGACCCAGTGATAGGTACGTCACTGCACCGACGTATAGGGAGAGCGGTTCCCCAAGAGGGCGACTCGTATAAATGAAAATAGGGATTATAGGTTCGTGTGGTGTGCGGTTAAGGAGTGAAATCCAACATTAATGTATCAAACTAAAATTATCTTTTATTCAAGTAAGTAAATTAACTATAATTGCTCTAAGTATAATATTAAGTATAACAATAGGTACGGAAATTATAATAGGTACGCCCTAGATAATGAAATACAGTGGAAAATATATGATTAGTAAGTAATAATAACGCGACTTGATCTTCGAATACAGCCAATACTCTGTACAATTTGCCAAGTTACACTAAGTACTGGAAAACTATATTCTAGTAGCTTGTATGATACCTTCGGACACGAGCGGACTATACCTACAGGTCGCAATCGGTTTCTGGTCTAGCCAGAGCTATGCTAATACAGGCCTGCTCAAGGAGCTCCGCTCCTCGCTAGCTCTTTACACTTGAACGTGTGGCTTAGTATTAGCACGTGTTCAACACGTTGCGTACCATGAGTAGGGTGTCCACAGATCCGAACTCTCGTACGTCACCACTGAAAGAGAAGGATAGAGCTAATCTCGCGCTCTATAGTTGCCTAAGCAATTCAGCGCAAGCTTTTCCTCTACTTCCAGAGTATTGTCTGCATCTGACCGAAGTCAGGGAAGATCTAATCTGACTCTGCGTGGAACGCCTCTATTTATAGTCAGATTCTGCTGACTTAGCGCTTTTTTTTATTATAGGGTTCCTCTAATTTTCTGGAATTCCCCATCACGTGATGGCCGAGCACCCCTGCTCCTTAGTCTATGCGATCACCCTACTCTAGAATCTCACCCCACCGCGAGATCATCGGGGTTGCGCTGGCGAGTATGCATTCGTTTGTCGATCATTTATCGATAATCAACTTACCGACCGACTTACCGACTAATCGCTTATCGACTTATTCAATCAGACTATATTATCGATTAATGAAAATTATTTATTATAAGAAATATAATACAAATTAAACTAATTACTTTTTTTATAAACTCAATTAAACATAAAAATTAAATTAACCATTTTGTACAAAATTTAAACTAAAAATAAATTATAATAATAAAAATGAAATGAAAAAGGTGCTGGGTCTTCTTAGCGGGTCGTTACACTGGCAAGTCTTGCATTGGCATTTTCCTTCGTCGTTTCGGGGGGATGCGGCCAATTTCCCAAAATATTTGATGATTTTTGCGTGTTTTCTTCTTGGATCCGTTCTGCTTAATTTCTTGAAGGTTTTCCAATTCAATTCCGGAATGTCGATGGGGGTTAACCTCCATGGTGTATCCTTTGTATGTATAGGATGCTGTATTGGAGCCTTTGAAGATGTTTGGAATAATTAGTAAATTATTAAATTATTAAATTTACCTGTACCTCCTTGAGTTTCTTTAAGGCTTTCCTTAAGCGTTTTAATTGCTGGCGTTTGCCGGCACGTCTAACCATGTTTGTTATTAGAAATTTTTGAAAATAAATATGGCGTTTGCGTAGGTGGCGCTTTACGTCTTCTTTCTTTCTTTATCATTCTTTCTCTGTCTTTCCTCTTTTGGGAAAGACCATAATGGCGGTTAAGGGTTCTCAATGAATAAAATGTTTTTAAAGAAATAAAATTACAATTTATTTTGTGTGTATCGTTTTACATAAACCTTCATTGCCAAAAAAGTTCCTTTAAATAAAACACGTTGGGTTCTCCAGATGAGAGGAGTGTCCCTTCCCAAAAAGCTTCTTGAGCATCATTGTCCATATCCTTGATCGAATTTTGGCAGGTGGTGCAGGCGATTGTGGGTCGAAAATCAGCAAACTCCCACTGACATTATATGCAACGCGTCTGCTTTAACCCGTATTCTTTTACTATAAAGTGGTGCTCCCCGATATGCACCCATTGTTCTCGAACTTCGGGTCTAATATTTCTTGTACAATGGAAGCAAATTCTTCCCGATCGGGGGCTGTAGACGTGTTGGAAAGCAGGGATGTTGTCCAGTATACATAGTGTTTCGACATTAATAGTTGTTTGTCGCATTTCTATAAAATTATTGTATCGCTTGGCGTCAATAGAATTTATATATTTCTTTTTTTTTTCTTTTCTTTATATATATATATATGTATATTGTTTGATCGTTTCGCCCCTTAACCGGGAAAGGGGTTAGAGAACGGATTCGGCTGAAAGTTTTTGCCGGTGCGCGACCTTGCCGAAGCGATATCTTCCGATGGAGCAACCGCGTATAGAAAAAGGTGCGAAGTGATCACGCAGGATTTTTGATTCTGAGAAATGTATTTGAATAAAGCGAAAATTAAAGAAAAGTTTAACAGTTCTTGCCAGCCGAAGCAGATTGTTCGAATACTGCGCTAAACTTGTACGCTAAGCCGAGTATATAAGAAAAGCAAGTATGCGGCGGCATATTTATATTATGGTTCCTTCGTCCCCGTCGTCGCCCGCCGGTCTAGCAGCCCAGTCGGCTCGCTACGTCGGCCAACGGAGCGAGAGAGATGGCTGGAGGCCGGCGGAACGAACAGCAGAGACGAAGGAAGCGATCTAGAAATTTCTAGATGACTCGTTCGACGCTCGAACATACCGCCCGCCTTCTTTGGACGGCAAAGAAGCAGAAAGCAAGAAGCACTCATGCATCAAACAAATCCATTCATAAAGCTAACCTTAATGTGAACAGTAAAGTTACGTGCATCAAACCGTTGAACACAGTGCGAGGTGCATAAAAATTAAAAGGCTTACAACTAACGTAATACAAAGGTAAGTAATTATACTAAAGAACATATATAAGTGATTAAATTGATTCCGGCGTCAAACCGCCCGCCATGACTATATAAATTTTTTCTCCACGCGCGAAACGGAAAATTTACGTGGAAGTAGGTGAAGTGACGTCAGCAGAGGGCACCGGGAGGGGGCACAACTTGACGATTGGTCTGGTGACGGAACCGCTAGTAGTTTTCAAGGTGGCTACTCTTACTCGTCCATCTGGCCCTGGATGAAGGGCTTCAACCCGGCCCATCGGCCATTTTGCCGGTGGTTGCAACTCGTCGCGTAGTAACACTAGTGTCCCCAGCTTCAGGTTCTCCTTCTGCTGACGCCACTTGGGAAGTTGCTGCAAATGCTGCAGATATTCCCGCCTCCACCTGTGCCAAAAGTGAGAACGTAATGCAGATATTTGTCGCCAGCGCGAAATAAGAGAAATATCATGCGAGTCGGATTCTGGATCCGGAACGATACAAGTGGGTTCACCGATTAAAAAGTGTCCGGGTGTTAATGCCGACAGGTCCGAGGGGTCGTCGGAAAGTGGATGTAGCGGCCGTGAATTTACGCAAGCTTCCACCTGGCACAGAAGCGTCGTCATCTCCTCGAAGGTAAGCGTGGCGTTTTCGACGATTCTTCGCAAATGATGTTTAACCGTTCTAACTCCTGCCTCCCATAGGCCCCCGAAGTGCGGAGCATACGGAGGGATGAAGCTCCAATCCGTGCCTTCGGCTGCCAGCGAAGCTGCGGCGTTTAGGTAGAAGGCGGAAGCGCCGCGGAACATGTTGCGCAACTCCCGGTCCGCTCCGTGGAAGACGGTCCCATTATCGCTCAACATCGTGGCGCAGCGGCCTCGGCGACTGATGAACCTGCGAAAAGCGGCTAGGAATGAGGCAGAGGTAAGATCTGAGACAGCTTCCAGATGAATCGCGCGAGTACTAAGGCAAATGAACAGCGCTATATATCCCTTGTAGGATTTGTGTCCTCTTCCTGGTGATGTTCGCAGCTTCACCGGTCCTGCGTAGTCCACTCCCGTAGAAAGGAAGGGTCGGCGGGGAGTGATGCGCTCGATCGGTAAGGGGCCCATCAACTGCGTGGTCGGCCTTCCACTGTAGCGAGCACATTTCACGCACCCCTTAATGACGTCTCGCACTAGAGAGCGGCCATGGATGATCCAGTAGCGTCGCGCCAGCAGGCTCCTGGTGAGTTGTGGTCCTCCGTGTAAAGTACGGAGATGGGCATCTCGCACCAAAAGAGTAGCCAACGGATTTTTCTTCCCGATGATGTAAGGGTGCCTCTCATTATAGGGAAGGGAGGCTTGGTCCAGGCGGCCTCCGACGCGTAGCAGCCCTTGGTCATCCAGGAAGGGCCTCAAGGCGATGAGGGTCGACGATCGCCGTACCTCTTTGTGCTGCCGGAGCTGGTCGACCTCGGCGTGGAAGTTGGACTTCTGAGCTAGGCCGATAGCGATCCGCAGAGCAGCGTCTCGCTCCGAAGCCCGGATGAACCCGGTTTCGGTCTTCAGCTTCCTTGTAAGTTGATGAAATCTAAAGCAGAGAGCAATAACGGCAGTTAGGCGTGTCAAGCTTGAAAACCTTGTTAAGAGATCGTTCTCCTCGTTTTCCTTTGCTAGGTAGATTTGTACTCGGCCCTGCTCCAAGTCGGCCTCCTCAACCTTTCCTAGTGGTGATGCAGGCCACTGATCGGGGGGGTTGATGAGCCAGGAGGGTCCCCTCCACCAAAGCTGCGACGATAGGAGCTCCGACGGCGTTATCCCTCTTGTTGCCAAGTCCGCAGGGTTGTGTTTGGTAGCCACGTGTCTCCAATTTTGAGGCGGAACATTGGACTGCACAGTGGCTACTCTGTGAGCAACAAACGGCTTCCAGGTCGAGGCATGCCCTCGGATCCAGTGGAGGGTAACGCTAGAGTCCGTCCAAGCCGTGATGGTTACTGGTACGTTCAATCCCCTTTGTACTTCCGCAATTAATTTGGAAAGAAGCACAGCGCCGCATAATTCCAGGCGTGGTATGCTAACTGCTTTGACCGGAGCGACCTTGGTTTTTGCCACAAGCAGTGTGGTCACGCTGACTTCTCCCTTGGACACTCGCAGGTAGACGACGGCTGCATAAGCTCGCTGGGAGGCATCGCAGAACCCGTGCAGATCCAGTTGCGCCGAGTCTGCTGAGTAGTTCGTCCAGCGAGGAATGGCCAAAGCGTCGAGTTGGCTCAGCGTCGTCCGGAAGGTTTTCCATGCGGAAAGCAGTTGGTCAGGTAAGTCCTCATCCCACTCTGCGCCAATTATCCAGAGGTCCTGCATGAGAATCTTTGCGAAAATTAAAACAGGGGCCGCCCATCCCAAGGGGTCGAAGAGACTGGCTACTTCCGAGAGGATACGCCTTTTTGTGTATCAGGAGGGCTCTTTGAGGGGTGGAAGGACACGCAAGGAGAAGGTGTCCGTGGTTGGCCTCCAGACGACTCCCAAGGTACTGACTCCAGTGTGGTCCTGGAACACGCAGGCTTGACTTTCTTCCGCTTCCTGTAAGCTCGGCTTATTCGATGCCCATTTACTCAGATCGAAGCCTCCCGATTGCAGGATGGAGATGACCTGTCGTCGTAATTCCAGAGCTGCTTCCTCGTCGTCGGCTCCGGCAAGGATATCATCCACATACGAATGCCGACGAATTGCGACCGCTCCCAGCGGAAAACGCTCCTCTTCGTCTGCCGCTAGTTGGACCAACACCCGCAGCGCAAGGAAGGGCGCGCAGGCTGTGCCATAGGTGACGGTCTTGAGCCTGAAGTCCTGTACAGGTTGATCGGGTCTGGAGCGCCAAAGTATCCTGGTCCAGTCCGCGTCCACCGGGTCTACTCGAATCTGCCGAAACATTTTAACAATATCCGAGGTAAATACTACTCGAAAAAGGCGCCATCGTGTTAAAATCATCCAGAGGTCTGACTGTAGTTTCGGTCCAGACAGCAGGCAGTCGTTGAGAGAGGATCCCGTGGCGGTGCGAAAGGAGGCATTGAAGACGACCCTGATTTTGCCAGTAGGGTCGTATCGCTTCGCCACAGCATGGTGCGGTAGATAGTAGGCTGGATCCTGAACCGCAGATTCCGGTACCGCCTCCATGTGATTCAAGGCCGCGTACTCGTCCATGAACTGCGAGTACTTGTCTCGCCAGGCTTCGTTGGACGCCAACTTGCGCTCACAGCTGAGCAGCAGCTTTAGCGCCGTCGATCTGCTGGGCTTCAGGGCGAGGCTTGGATCCAATTTGAAAGGTAGGTGCACCGAGTAGCGGCCTGTTTCGTCCCGATAGTGCGTCTCTCGAAAGTGCCGCTCACATTCTCGGTCCTCGGGTGATAACGGGGGCTGTTCGTGTAGCTCCTCGAGCTCCCAAAAGCGCCGAAGCAGCCTATTCGTTGAGTCGTCCGTTTGGCAATGAAGGCTGTGGACGACTGCCTTGCTGCTAGGTCCTTTGGCATCAGAGACAGGGCCCATCAGTACCCACCCAAGAGGCGTACGCCGCGCCGTTGGGGTACCCATCGGTCCAACCCTCGACTCGTCCTGTAACAAAACTCCACAAATATCAGCTCCTAGGATCAAGTCAACACGAGAGGGTACTCCATATTCAGGATCGGCGAGAATCACTCCTTGAAGGTGCGGCCAAGACTGTGGTTGCACTGCTCGAGCTGGGAGCAACGCCGTCAGTTTCCGCAGCACCAACGCACGAACCGACAAGTGAAAGCTGGGGTCCAGACGAGAGCGCAAAGAAAAGGAAACTTCGCTTTTCGCCAGTCCACTCTCATTCTCCTGTACTCCTGAGATGGCGACGCTAACCGCCCGCCGTGGCAAACGGAGCGCTTGAGCTACCCAACCCGATACCAGCGACGTGTCCGAACCGGTGTCTAGCAGGGCTCTGACCTCTAGGTGTTCCCCTGATGGTGCCTCCACCCTCACCTTGGCCGTTGCTAAGAGCGCGGCGGGTCGAGTGGTAGCTGAACAGGCGAAGGAGGCAGCTACGTTTTTTTCTTCGATGTCGGAAAAAACCGCTGGCGGTGGAGATGTTGGAGCGTCTCCTTTGGCCGTGGGTGCACTCTTAGCGGGACTCGCCATCGCATCATGGAGGAGCGTGTGGTGCTTGTTGCCGCACGCTAAGCAGACTTGGCTGGATGGGCACTTGTTCGAGTCGTGGCCAACAGTCAAGCAGTTAAAACACGCCTGTAGTTGTTGCGCTCGCTCCTTCCGGCGCCGTGGTGGGAGCGCCTTTAGCTTAGAACAATAAGCAAAGTTATGATTTCCTGCACACGAGGGGCACTTACGAGGGGCGGGACTCTTAGCCGATGCAGCTAAGACTGCGACATTAGACCGTTTTACAGACGCCTCCTTTTTTGTTTTAGCCAGGGCACCTTTGGTTGTTGCGGGATGCAACACGGGGTCGGCCGCCTGAGCAGCATCCAGCGCTTGGATGCGATTTTCTAGGAAAAGAGAAAGCTGTCGGAACGACGGGATGTCACGACTATCAGCAAGAGAGGTTTCCCAGGCCAGGTGGGTGGTTTTGTCCAATTTTTGGCTTAAGAAATAAACAAACCACTCATCCCATTGAGGTACCGGTTTGTTTAGCGCCGTGTACGCCCTGATCGATTGTCTGAATGTATCTAACAGCCTTTTCAATTCCGCGGCAGACTGCTGTTGCGCGGGAGGGCAGGAGAGAAGAGCCCGGTGGTGCGAGAAAGACAGAAGACGCAAATTCCCGTACCGCTGCTCCAGATCCTCCCAGGCTCCTTGGTATCCAGCATCGGTGATTGGCGTATTTTGGATGACCTCCGCCGCTTCCCCGGTCAAGGCCGTCTTCAGGTACAGCAATTTCTGTACATCTGGAAGATTGGGAACGCTGTGAACGAGGCTCCGGAAAAGATCTCGGAAACTCTCCCACTGCAGGGGGTCTCCCGAGAAGGTAGGTAATTGTATCTTTGGCAATTGCGGCTTTGCCGGCGGGTCTGGAGGCGCTTGTACTCCACGCGAGGGACCCGCATTCGCGAGGTCCTCTTGGTACTGCGCCATCTGAGCCGCGACCTGAAGATAAGCTTCTTCGATGGTAGAAAAGCGGTCTTGGTCTACGTAAGCACTGTCCTCGGCTTCTTTGAATCGCAACAGTTGACGGTGACCATTTAAAAACGCATCCCAATATCGCTCAAGGAGACCTCTACGCTGTTCCAAAACTGCCCGCGTAATTTTTTCCCTACCCAATTTACAAAGGTTAGTCCAAAACCGTTGGATCCAACGTCCGAGTTCCTCCTGTTCCCGTAAAATATCCACGTATTCAGTCGAAGGCATCGTAATTCTTCCCTTTTCAGATCAGGGCGTTTCCGAAAACCGTTAGAAGCACCGACTGTTGACTCGAAGTTCAAGACGTTCCGAAGCGTTTACAAACACAGGCTCGACCTCAGGAGACAACGCCCAAGCGGGTGACGTCACGGCAGGACCGTTACGGCAAGAGAAATGATTTAAATAAAGAATGGGACTTATCTTTCTCCTTTTGACTCCCTTTTCCGAGGCCTGGTTGATTTGTTCGTGGAGTCCGGTCTTGAGGCGGCGAGTCAATCCTCCCGCGTTGGAGTCCAGCCGCAATTTCCCAGGAATCGTCACTGGCACCACTCACTCGCGACGTGGAAGAACGTTCGTTGACCGCAATTATCCGGCTCGAAGGACCAATGTTTGATCGTTTCGCCCCTTAACCGGGAAAGGGGTTAGAGAACGGATTCGGCTGAAAGTTTTTGCCGGTGCGCGACCTTGCCGAAGCGATATCTTCCGATGGAGCAACCGCGTATAGAAAAAGGTGCGAAGTGATCACGCAGGATTTTTGATTCTGAGAAATGTATTTGAATAAAGCGAAAATTAAAGAAAAGTTTAACAGTTCTTGCCAGCCGAAGCAGATTGTTCGAATACTGCGCTAAACTTGTACGCTAAGCCGAGTATATAAGAAAAGCAAGTATGCGGCGGCATATTTATATTATGGTTCCTTCGTCCCCGTCGTCGCCCGCCGGTCTAGCAGCCCAGTCGGCTCGCTACGTCGGCCAACGGAGCGAGAGAGATGGCTGGAGGCCGGCGGAACGAACAGCAGAGACGAAGGAAGCGATCTAGAAATTTCTAGATGACTCGTTCGACGCTCGAACATATATTGTTATTCAATGCTTACTTTTTCCTTCCTTCTTCTGTTTTATTTTGATTTTTAATTCCTTTTTGAGTGGTTTCACTTTTCAGCTTCGTTGCTCTTGCACAGTAGTGTTTTTTATGAGGTGCTTCCAGTTGCTTCCAACGGTTTTTTAGATTTTCGTTAATACGCATGCGCGTGTTCATGAACCTAGTGGATTTTTGCATCGATCTTCACGTTTGATCTATGATGTTGATTGGTAGATATGCCCTCTTTAGCCTATCTTTATGAACGATTCGCTTTTTATTGGGTTCTATTGCCAATTCTATGTTATTTGGTTCTATGTTTCGAAGTATAGTGTATGGTCCAGTGTATTCCTTTTCAAATTTGTTTCTTCTAGGCGGGTTTAATAGCATAACTTTTTCACCTGTTTCGTAGTTTATTGGTCGAATTTTTCTGTCGTAATAGTGTTTTTGTCTGTGTTTTTCTTTTTCCAAATTTGATTTTGCTATTTCTCGTAAATTGTGCAGTGTTTGAATTAGTTTTTCGATATAATCAGGGTATGTTTTTAAATTATCAATCGGTTTAATACTTGATGGTTGACGAGCTTTTTTCCCGAAAACTAATTCATGTGGTGTGAATTTTGTTCCTTCGTGGATGCTGGTGTTATAGGAAAACATCGCTTGTGGTAACCATTCGTCCCAATGTTTTTCTTTTGAGATATAATGTTTTAAATATTCAATTAAAACATGATGACTTCTTTGTAGTGATTCATTTGATTGTGGATGGAATGAAGATGTTATGTATGTTTTGATTTGGAAGGCTTTAGCTAATTTCTTCATTAATGAACCTGTGAAACATGTACCCTGGTCTGTAAGTATGGCTTTTGGACTACCAAATTTGCATATAAAATGTTCTGTAAAAGCTTTTGCTACTTCTTCAGATGTAGTTGATATTAAGGGTATTGCAGCTGAGTATTTGGTCAAGTTATCCTGAATAGTAAGTATATAGCTGTTTCCTGTTGTAGTTATTGGCAATGGTCCTAATATATCTAAAGATACTTTGTCAAATGCATCAATAGGGGTATCAGTGATGACCATTGGTTCTTTGTTTTTCATTCTTACTAATTTAACTTTTTGACAGCTAATGCAGGTTCTAATATAATCAGTGATTTCCTTTTTCATGTTCTTCCAATAATAGTTATTTCTGATTCTATGGTAAGTCTTTTTTATTCCTTTATGTCCTCCTACTGGGCTTTCATGGTTTTCTCTAATGATATGTATTCTTTCTTCTTTAGGTGGTGTGATTATGGTTCCTTTACAGAGTGTGATGGAGATGTTTGAGTCTGCAAAAATTACTTGTAGGAGTTTATGTAATCCTTTTAGTTCAGGTATAGAACATTCTTGAATTTTCCTTTTATAGAATTCTTGATAAAGTGTTTTTAGTGTTTTAGGTAAGACTTCTCTTGAATGTGTTACTAGGCCAAATATTTCTTTGTTCTTCTTTTTTAGATGTATAATGGTTTCTTCCTGATGAGGTATATGTATTTTTATTTTTTCGTTTTGTAAAAATTCTTTTGATTGATTGTCTATTGGTTTTCCTTCTTCATTTAGGAATACAATCACAATTCCTTTCTTCATCCAGAGGTGGTCAGTTGTCTCTATTATCTTGGATGTGACTGGTAGGTTGCTGATCACTCTTGGTTGTGTTATTTTATGAGTGGTAAGTTGATCCTCTTCTTTTATAATTTTAATAGGAATTATTGGTGCTGTGGATGTACTTTCTGAATCATTTTTCTCCTCTTTTTTCAGCTCTGAAAATTCTTCTTTGGTTTCTAAAGATGTCTTTTTTGTCCCTGAAGATGCCTTTTTTATTTCTGAAGATGTTCTTTCTGTTTCTGAGGATGCTTTTTTTGTTCCTGAAGATGAATCTATTTTGGGTGGCTCTCTATATGTGTGTTTGGGTAGAGTTATTCCCTCTTCAAAGTCTTCAATTTCGTCACCAATTATTACTGGTTCATGTTTCCTCTTGAGTGGTTTAGGAGGTTCATAAATCAGCTTTTTTGGTGGTTGATGAATTTCTACTGTAATTTGTTTTCCATTTTGTCTTCTCTTTTTGAATTGTTTGTTTGCAGAGCTTGATGTTTCCTTTTTCCTCTTCCTGAGTTGTTGATCTTGAAATTCGTCAGTATCGCAATATTCTGATTCACTGGAGGTAGTGTTTTCTTTAAAACGTTTCTTATTTGTTTGATGTAGACTGCTGCTTGTTTCATGTGGTCTCTTATAGTGTTGTGTAATTTTTTCTTTTTTTATTTCTTTCTCAGAATCAGACGAAGTATCTTGCTGTCGTGTAGGATATGTTATTTTTCTTCTTACAATACTTCTTTCGGATTCAGAGGAAGTATTTCTTTGTCGTGTGGTGTGTTGATGCGACTGTTTTTTCTTTTTTGTTTTTCTGTTTAGTTCTGAAGATGTATCTCGGCGTCTTGTTGGATACTGATGGGTTTCCTTCTTCTTTTTGATTTCTCTGGAGCTTGATGACGTAGTTGGTCTTCGTCTTGTAGGGTGTTGGTGGGTTTCCTTTTTTCTTTTATATTCCCTAGAATCGGATGTTGTCGATGGTCTAGGACGTGTAGGGTGCTGGTGCGTTTCTTTTTTCTTCTTGTGCTCCCTAGAATCGGTTGTCGTCGATGGTCTAGGACGTGTTGGATATTGGTGCCATTCTTTTTTTTTTTTTGTTATTTTTTTGGATCCTGTGGTTGATGTAGTGCTTCTCGGACGAGTTGGATACTGATGCCATTGTTTTTTCTTCTTGATTTCTCTTGATTCGGTGGTTGAAGTAGTTGCTCTGGGTCTGATAGCATATTGGTGCCATTGTTTCTTCTTTTTAACTTCTTTTGAGTCTGTAGTAGAATGTTTTTGTTTCGCTTGAATTGGTAAGGTTGCAATAGGATTTCGGGATAATGCATCGGCGTTTATATTTTGTTTTCCGGGTTTATATTTGATCTCATAGTCGTATTCGCTTAATTTTAATTTCCATCGCATTAATCTTGATGCGGGGTCTGTTAAATTATGCAGCCATGTTAATGGTCTGTGGTCAGTTATTAGATAAAATTTTCTTCCGTAAATATAGGGTCTAAAATGAGTTACGGCGTATACGACTGCTAACAATTCTCTTTCTGTAGCTGAGTATTGTGTTTCTGCCTTGTTTAATACTCTTGAAGTATATGATACCGGTTGATCTTTTCCAATTTCGCCCTGGCTTAGTACTGCTCCAACAGCGATTCCAGATGCATCCGTGGTGATATTGAAAGGTTTTGTGAAATCTGGATATTGTAGAATTGGTTCCTCGCATAATTTATCTCTCAGGATGATAAAAGCTTGTTGTTGTTGCTGTGTCCATTCAAATTTTTGTTCTTTCTTTGTTAAATCTGATAGAGGTTTAGCTATTTTTGAAAAATTTTTTATGAATCTTCTATAATATCCGCATAAACCAAGGAATTGCCTAATATTCTTTACTGTTTTGGGAACTGGAAACTCTTTGACCGCTTCTACTTTCTTCGGGTCAGGTTTCACTCCATCTTCTGTGATAATGTGTCCCAAGTAGGCTACTTCCTTCTTCATTAGCTCGCATTTTTCCGGCTGGAGATATAGATTTGCTTCTCTCAGTCTTGCCATAAGTCTATTGAATTTTGTCTCGTGTTCTTCTATTGAGCTAGCATAGATTACTATATCATTAATATACACGAATGCTTCGACCCCTTGTAGTCCATCCAGAACGTTGTTCATAAGCCTCTGGAATGAACCTGCAGCGTTCTTTAAACCAAATGGCATTCTTTTAAAATAGAAGTGTCCAAATGGCGTTGAAAAAGCTGTCTTGTGCTTGTCGTCTGGATGCATGGGCATCTGGTGGAAGCTAGACTTTAAGTCGAATATTGAGAAGTATTTTGCGCTTCCCAATTGATCTAGAATGTCGACTATGTTTGGCAATGGATATGCGTCGCTAATGGTTTTTTCATTTAATTTTCTAAAATCGATGACTAATCTCCCTGATTTGTTTCCTTGTGTATTTTCCTTTTTTGGAACTATCCAGATTGGAGAATTATAAGGTGATGATGAATGTTCGATTATATCTTTTTCTAATAATTTTTTGACTTGTCTATTTACTTCTTCCTTTAACGCTTGTGGGTATCTATATTGTTTTATGTTAACTGGAACTTCGTCAATTGTGATTATTTGATGGAAAATTTTGTTTGTTGCTCCAAGTTCGTCTTCGTTTAAGTAGAATCTGTCAGCGTTGTTTGAAATTAAATTCCTTATACTTGATTTTTCTTCTTCATTTAAATGTTCCAGGCGTAGTGATGCAAATAGCGTAGTGATGCGTTCGGTAGAACCTGATGGTGCTTCTTCTTCTTCTTCTATTTTTATTTCTTCGTATGGTTCCAATTGTAAGGTAGGCATTTGAATTTTGATGTCTTCGGAGGAAACATTTGTTGCATGAAGGAAAGCTATGCCAGTTCTGTTTGTTACTACGGCGTTTCCCATGTATAATTGTGGATGTATTTCGATTTTTGGTGTAAAGCCTGTCTTTTCTTCTGTATTTTCTACTTTAATGGGAATTGTTGTTCTAGTCCTTGATGGTATTGTGATTAAAGGTTCTTGGAATGGTATTATGTAATTGTTGACTATGAGCATAGATTTGGCGTAGTTAATGTTCGCTGAGCTATTTTTGAAAAATTCGGTTCCTAGTATTCCATCGTGCGCTATCGGAAGATCCTCCACAACATGGAATACGGACTCTGTATCCAGCGCTTTTACTTCGATGTATCCTAGGGTTGAAAGATAGCCTTCAGTTATTCCGTTTAATTCAAAGATGATATTGGTATTAATTATTGCTTTATTTGATATAATATGTTTTTTAATAATGTTTATATCTGATCCAGTGTCGATCATTAGTGATGCTACTCCTTGATGAAAGTTTTCACTTATAAGTTTGATGCTTGGAGGCTTTTCTGCGTAATTCGCTTTTAGACACAGGTTCGTTTCTTTACGTACCTGTGGTTCTTGAGTTGTAGGTTGTTGTGGCTCGTTTTTAATCTTCTCTTGATACACTTTCTTTCTGCATTGTTCGATGGTATGGCCAATGTTTTGGCAATAAGCGCATATTGGAGGTTGCCTTCTCCAGTTTGCGGTGCCTTGGTACCAGTTACTAGGAGGTTGGTTTACCGGGGGTTGAAAGGTCGGATTTGCCGAAGGTTGGTTTGCCGGATGTTGAAAAGCCGGTGGTTGTCCCGTTCCTTGGCGTTGACCTGTGTTCTGCCGCTGGTTCACCGGGGTTTGGTTTTGTGGAACCCGGTTCGGTTGTATCCATTGACTTCTTTGTTGATTATAATTGTTGTAATTATTATAGTTGCTATTGAAGTTGTTGTTGTTATTGTTGAACCAGCAATTTTGAATTGTGTGTCCCGGGCGCTGGCAATGCTGGCAATATCTTGGCTACCATTGGATCGATGATACCTGCTGCCTTTGGAATGAACGGCTACTGCAGGTGTTCGTACTGTGGCCGTACCCAAAACAGTTGCTGCATTGAATGGCCTGGGTATATCCCTCGGTCAATTTCATCCTCATCATATTTTCTTTGTACTCTGCTTCGCCTTTAATAGCTACACTGATTGCTTCGTCCAAGGTGTTGAACTCGCAATTTCGTATTCGACTGAAGATTTCTGGTTTCATCCCAGTCAGAAATGCCTTGACAGCATTGGCTTCTGCAGATGCATTATACTGCTGCGTATGTTCAGGAACTTCGATTTCGTTGCAGTTCTGAATTTGCAGCAAAATACTGGAGACTCGGCTACTGTAGTCGACGACTGCTTCGTTCGGCATCTGAGCCAATTTCGACATGTCTCCGCATAGTTGTATTGATGAGTATAATGGAGCAAAACGTGATTTCAGCACCGTAATCAGCTGTTCGATGGTATTGTAGTCTCCGCTCAATACTACTCTCGAAGCTTGTCGAATTCGGCGTTTGGTGAAATCATGCCCCTTGCATTAAGGCAATTCTTCGTGAATTGGTACACGGAAATGTTATGGCCATCGAAAGGTGGCACTATATCCGCTGCATCCCTAATGCTTATTGGTCGGTTGCCCTCGGCTGGTACGTTGGCTTTGTTATCCATGTTTATTGGTTAATATAATTATTTATTAATATATATATATATATGTTTTTTATTATATTTTTTTTTCTTTTTATTTTTTACGTGTTTTTTTTCCTTCTTTTTTTTTCTTATCTATATTTTTTCTACTTTTGTTAATTTCAATATTTTTTTTTTCTCCCCTTTTTTTTTGTTTTTATTTATTAACGTGCAAACCACGCCGTTGAAATAAACCGTTAAATGTGTTGCAGTTAATCTGTGTTCAGAATATCAAGTTTTGTTACTTCTCTTCTCATCACGTTTATATTTTCTTTTCTCCAGTTATATACATATATATATTAAACTACAGTTCTCTTTTCAACTAACAATTGTCTGAATTTACTACACTCGTTATCCACCGCCTCTCCTATAAATCATCAATATACAGGGTGTCCCAGAACTGGGGCAGGAACGGAAGAGGGATGATTGGTGAGGTCATTCTAAACAACTTTTTCCTTTGCCAAAATGTTGGTTAAGGCTTCTTTTTCGAGTTATTATCGAAAAACACTGGCCAATCAAAGCCGTTAGCGCGGGCCGAACCACGAGAGTGTTGGGTATGTTCCGCGCGGTCGTGATCAAGTGCATCGGCACCACGTCGGTGTAATAGGATTCGTTGTTCATGAGTAATCAATAATTCGATACAATTATTCTTTTCTTTTTTTTATTCATTATCCGATGCAACTTCTACTCAACGAATCCCATCATACCGACGTAGTGCCGAGGCACTTGATCACGACCGCGCGGAACATACCCAACACTCTCGTGGTTCGGCCCGCGCTAACGGCGTGCTCTGATTGGCCAGTGTTTTTCGTTAATAACTCGAAAACGAAGCCTTAACCAACATTTTGGCAAAGGAAAAAGTTGTTTAGAATGACCTCACCAATCATCCCTCTTCCGTTCCTACCCCAGTTCTGGGACACCCTGTATATATTTAGAAAAGAAAAAAAAATAAACTGTGCATAACTTAAATTATTATGATATAAAAAATAAACCAATCAGTCTTCTGCAATTTTAATGATTTTACTTTTTGCTTTTTTACTTGCTCCACGCTTGACTTTCTTGCTTGCGTCTCCATTCACCCCTCTCTCTTCTCCACAATCTCACCAACCTTGTACGAAATTACCAGTGCTACCAACAATGTGACAATCCAAATTTGTTAGTGCCTCCACCCGAAAAACTGAAGTTTCGGGTGATACGCAGCAGCTACTTTGAAGAAAAATACTTTATGAGAAAGAGGCTGACTACATCCGCAGTTCCAACACTGCACTTGCCAGGTAATACTCTAACATAATTTGTATAGCGTATGTACATAATTGTTAATGAAAATATTTATTACACAGTGTCAGAAGCTGCCTCTATTAAAACAGAGCAGCAAGAGACCCGGATGGAAATACCAGAAGAAGAACATAAATGTAAGTTTTCAGTTATACTTGTATACTGAAAGTACATAATAATACTTCTAACATGAAATGTATCTATAATGTTATTTAATTTTGTTCTGACAGGCAAACCTGACTGCACTGGGGGAATGGATACTAAGAGTGGCATCGTGAAACATGTGGACTTCACGGCACTTCCTGGACCATCCGGAGGTTAGTGTGTTACCATAAAAAAATATTACTTTTGGTTTTACTATCTTTCTTAGTTGTAGACTGGTATGTTTAACAAATATTCTTTGGCTGTTTGTAGAAATGCAATGCAACAACTTAGGCAGACTAAGTCTACAAGAAGACAAGTCATTGCATAACGCAGGTATGAGTTTATATATTACCGGATATTAATATTAAATATTATGCATGATGATTTAAAGGGAACTTTTATTAAGTCTCTTTTACAATTACAGATTGTGCTGTCCTTGGAAGAGAGCATCAGTGATCAGAAACCCAGAAAAGCCAGAAAGGTACGAAATAAGTATTAATATATTAGGTTAAGTAATCATAAGTGCAGGACAACACTGCAAAAAATATTGAATAAATAAAAGAATAGGTAGTTGAAGTTTTTGATTAAAACCGGTGCAATTCTATTACTTCTATTAAACATTCCTTGTCGCATTCATATCCTAAAATGAGAGAAAGGTATATAATTCTTTTTCTTACTGAAAGGAAATTGTTAACATTCTACTCTTTTTTATCATTTGTACATGTTACTAGCCATGTATGAAAAGCAGTCACTGTACAGAATGCCCAGGCAATATCAATCCAAAGTTGATATAATATTAAAATAATTCGGATATTTCGTAGTTTGTTCAAAAACGCCAGGCATTCTATACAATGCTTGCTTTTCATACAATGCTGCTAACATGTACAACTGAAATTTTTACTTTATGTATTTCTTACGTGCATTATTTGACGCCAAAGATTGATGTACTCCAAATCGGATACATTTTGTCGTAACTGAAGGTACTAAACATCCTCCATGTAGGGGCGAGTTCAGTGCGCCACCCTAGTTTGTACATACCTTCAGTCGATATTATTCGTTTGCATGTGTAAATTACACTATGTATACGGTATACATGGCAGTAATACACATGCAAACTATATACTGCTTTATATAACTTTATATATCCTTTACAGAGTAAGTATATTGTATGTTTCCTTCTGCAGATAATATACTGAAGATGCTGAAGGACAACATCGTGGAGAAGCCCTTGCAGTAACGAGTCTACAGCGCCGTGGCAGCGGTATTGAAGGCAGCGCGGCAGTGCAAGCGGCGGCAGATGCCAACGACGGACCGCATCAAGAAGATAGAGCATCTCGTGCAGGTAGGTGTATGCCAAGTTTTGGAAAACTTCCCTACACCCCTGCACGCGATGATTTCCGTTCAGATGCGCAACAAGGGAAAACCCATCTACGGACGACGCTTTACGGAAGAGGAAAAGGTACTAGCTTTAAGTATTTATAAGCAAAGCCCAAAAACGTTCCGATATTTGTCAAAATTATTTCTTTTGCCAAGTATCGAAATGCTTCGGAAATTATTGTCGCACATTCCAGTAAGAGCTGGAATTTGCGACAACGTATTCCGTGAACTCGAAGGGCGGTCCGAGTCCTTTCCAAACGAGAAAAGCAGATACACTATTCTGCTTTTCGACGAAATTAAATTATCGCCGTCACTAGTCTACAATCCTTCAATGGACATAGTTGAAGGAGTTGTAGACTCCGGTTTTTCGCGTTCTTTAGATATCGCGGATCATGTCATCGCACGGAGTGCGACCTTGGAAGCAACCTGTCGCGTATACTTTTTGAAGGGGTACTTCTTCCGCGGAGATCATCGTTAGGATGTTTAAAGAATTAGTTTGCCGTGCATGTCAGGCCGGCATTGTAGTTGTAGCCTCAGTTTGTGACCAAGCCAGCACGAATTGTAAGGCAATACAATGCCTAATAGATTATTCGAAGAGAAATGCCTTTCAGCAGTCGAATCCATTACGGCATGATATAATTGTAATTGATGAAAATGAAATCATACCGCTCTTCGATCCTCCGCACTTATTAAAGTACATGCGGACCAATCTTTTGTGACCATTTAGCTACACGTGGAAGATTTATATTTTATTGATAGCAGTAATGCTTCTTCTCAGGACCGAGTTCTGAAGAAGCTTCCTGCAAAGCATGTAGTAGTTGATAAAATTAGGAAAATGAAGGTGAAGTATTGCGCGCAGGTTTTTAGTCAATCGATTGGGTTCGTAATGACACTCATGAGTCGCAATAAAGTTAAGAGTGTGTGCGATACGTGTGAAATGCCTTTAGAAGGAGTTGATACTGCTCAATTCATTCATTTTATGAATGATATTTTTGACAGTGTCAACAGTAGTCGTCCTCTTCCGGTAATAGATATGAACTGCGAAAGACCCAATATCTGGGATGTAAGCATTAATGTTTTTCGAAGCATGAAATTTATCAAAAGAAAGTTTGCGGATAAAGAGCGTCCACTGGTAGTACACAATTGGATTAGAACTACAAAATTTTAAATTTTTGACAACACTTCTAAGCAATCTTGGATTTTCACACTTTATTGGTCGCAATTTTAACCAAGATGCCTTAGAAAATTGTTTCGGTCAGATTAGACAGCATGGTACGCGAAATACTAATCCAACGTGTACTGCCTTTCACGGGTATTATAGGATATTGCTCTTAAATTCCTATTTGCAGTTGGTAAATGCGGATACTAACTGCGAATCTGAAGAATCCGCAAACTTTTTAATTAGTCTCAAAAAATATTTGTCACCTGCTCCAGCTGCATCAATTCTACCATTTTTCTAAATTACAATGTTTCGGCAGCTGCTGAATCCACTGTATTAACAGTGATTCAGTATGTTTCACGGGGTGTTCGGAAGAAGAACATCTCCTGTAAATTTTGTTTGGCTTTAGTATTTGAAAGCAATGTTTCTCAAGGTTCATCGATGCATGCTGTGTGTAGATAATTAATAATGCAGGTAGTATCTATTTGCCTCGCTAATATGCCACAAATAGCGCACACTCCGAACCTTATTGCGACTCTAAAATTATGCATTTCGGAGCATATGAATTTTAAATTGACATCTATCCCCACCGCTGAGGTACGAAGGTATTCCCACTACTATGTCAACACTGCAGCGGTGGGGATTAGCAGTTCTGCTAAACTGTTCTGCCCTACGATTTACACAAACGAAATAAACAATATTTTATACATTTTCCGATGCAACAGCGTAATAAAACTAAGCTTATGTCCTTCGCAAAGTTATAAGGAACACATCTAAAAAAATCAGATCAAAATCAAAGCAGTAGATTTGGAGATTACCCTGTACAAAGAAAATGCTTACAGCTTTATATATTAGTATAGATATAGATTTCTAATTCTTTTTTTTTTTTATGTATTTCATACAGCCCGGACATTTTGTTAACTAAACTATTTTCATTGTAATATTTATTTTTCCTCGAAATTATACACTTGTTATTTATATTTAGTTTCCAATTAATTTCTGTTTAAACACCTCTTTCTTTTCCTGTATTATCACGCCTACCATCAACGCACGAATTCACACGAGGGGCCCGTATGGGACCAGGGCATTGACGGACTCAATCAATCTATAGTCAATTTTACTGATTTTTTTTATTTGTTCTAATCGGAAGTGATCTAACATCGTCCCAACCGATTAGGACTGGTAGCAGCGCTTTTTTTACCGCGTACTAAATATCTATAATAAACTTTTCTCTCTCTTTCTTTTTATATATATATATTTGTACGTCGCGCGCCATATCTCGCTCGCGACGTAACAGCAGCACCATATATTCGGGTATTTTTACTTTTGCGCCGCCTCCGAAAAGGTTGAAATGTATTTAGTATACTACTTAACGAGTAAATAGGTTTTATTAATAGCTGTTGGGTATTTGTATAAATGAAGTAGAAATTATTTCATATTTTTGAGTGCATTTCGAAGTCGGTTGTATTTTTTGTTAAAAATTATTAAAACATCTTTTCCATAACGCTGAGATCCTTAGATTATAACATTAAATTGATTTTTAATTTTATTATAAAATGAAGTGTTTATTCGTCCACATAATAATCTAAATTATAACCAGAAGAAAAAGAATCAACAGCGAGTGTTCACCGACCGTTAAACATGTTTGCCCTTCGCTAATCGCACGAGAGCGTGCAAAAATTCGCACACAATCGAAGACACGACTTGACGATGGCAACAAGGGCAACAAGCGAATCCCCCCCCCCCCCCCCCCCCCATCTCCAAAGTCCGCTCTCAAAATCCTAAGTTTCCACCACCACCACCGTTGCGTCGCTGAGCTGAACCCCCTCCACCATACACGGGCCCTTCGTCGTTCGTCGCCATTTCAGAATCATTCCGAATACAACGATCGAACGGTATGAACGTGTTATAATATATTTACTCGTGCGTTTCTTGGTTTAGAAAAATTAACCTATGTTAACTTGTGTATAAACGTGTGTTAGGTCTAGCTAGTTATTCAGTGTTACTAACTAACTTTTTGTAATTATAGTTGTCGGTTCTTTTCTGTAGCTGTTTGTTTGGGTATCGAGACAAGTTCTGATGTTGCGAATTCGGTGCCCGTTTTTTGCGACGAAGGCTATATCGAAGAATCATCGTTTTTGGTCGACGTTTCTTTATGTGGAAACGAAAACTGCAAGCAAATCGAACTTGGAGAACGTTACTACCCTCAACCTGCGGACTACGGGCATCTTCGAATTCTGGTAAGTGATACAGAGTCTATTTCCCGTGACATTGTATCTTTGCATGAAAATTTTCATTTTGCGTTTAATAATGATTAGCGTCGGCAGAAGCGAATTAAGTGAAGGGAGCATTCTCCGCGATACATAGAAAATAAGCCAATTTCAAGTTCCTTTTTCTCAGAATTTACTTTAGGCATCAACTTCAAATTACTAGAGCATCTAGTGTATCATACTAGATGCGTGCTTGAGCTGCAGGAAATATTGAAATACGGAATAGAAAAAATTATACAAGCTTATAAATGTGTGGATTTATTTGTACTCTAACCTTCAACATAAAAGATGCTGCTAATCTTATTGTAAGCCGAATTTCAAAAAAATCTTTTCCTAAAATATGTTATACCCGTAGTAGTAAAAGCCCACGGAATTGTAATTAAATCGGCCGAATGAATACTGAGAAAAACGAACACAAATGCAGGAAAACGTGTGATTTTATAAAGGCAGCATTTTTCTAAAATTTTGCCTCTATCAGTAACTCACGCTCAATCTTGTGAACAATTCTCAAAAATGGTTTATTATTAAATAAAGAAATTAAAAAATTCGATTTTCAGACTTCCAAAATGCCCACTTTTTTAAAGATTTCTGGTGCCCCGCGATTATCAAACTTTCGTGGGCCCCCATAGTTGATAAATTTAGTTCGAAAATTGCAATTAATTTAAAGTACTGTACGGGATCGATAACACAGTCCAACAAATTTGAACTTTTTCTGTGATCTGCAATATCCATTACGTGATTCTTATAGGCTTTTGTTCACTGATTACGAATCTGCAAACCGTTTTGCTCCTATACGTACAGTTTTTGAGAAACAGGCATTTTTGTGAAAATGTGTGGTTTTGGGAAAAAATGCAGTATTACACGAAAACTGAAAATGCAAGGAAGTTCAGGTTTATGTCAAAAGTTAGAGGAGACTTTCCTCTATACGTCTGTATGAACAATTATATTTTTTAATGACTTTTAATATTTGTAAGTGCTTGTCAAAGTTTGAAAAAGAGGTGCTGTAGGTAGTTTGTACGCGCTATTTTTGTATTTTTATGAAAAATCTTTTATCTAGCAAGAATTTACTATACAGGATTGCATTCTATAAACATTTCTGATGAAGAAACCATTCACAGAAAGTATCGTTATAGTTTGGTGTTGGAACAAATAAAGAAAATATCCATCGACAACGTGACTACGACGCGTTGCCGCCAGGCGGCCATTGTATGCCTACCTCGCCGCGTCAGTGCCGTAACTACGCGTAATGGACATTTGTAACACTTTAATAGATTTTTGCTTACTATGAGTGTGTATAATATTGCTATACAATGAATGCTATATCACTCATGTCCACCTCGGATAAATTTTACTGTTAAAGAGCAAATAGTTATTAAAGGATACCGTGGGTATACGGATTACGCGTAGTTACGGCACTGCCGCGGCGAGGTAGGCATACAATGGCCGCCTGGCGGCAACGCGTCGTAGTCACGTTGTCGACGGTTATTTTATTTATTTGTTCCAACACCAAACCATACTGATACTTTCTGTGAATGGTTTTTTCATCAGAAATGTTCATAGAATGCAATCCTCTATAGTAAATTGGTGCTAGATAAAAGATTTTTCATAAAAATACAAAAATAGAGCGTACAAACTACCTACGGCACCTCTTTTTCAAACTTTGACAAGCACTTACAAATATTAAAAATCATCAAAAAATATAATTGTTCATACAGACGTATAGAGGAAAGTCTCCTCTAACTTTTGACATAAACCTGAACTTCCTTGCATTTTTAGTTTTCATGTAATACTGCATTTTTTCCCAAAACCACACATTTTCACAAAAATGCCTGTTTCTCAAAAACTGTACGTATAGGAGCAAAACGGTTTGCAGATTCGTAATCAGTGAACAAAAGCCTATAAGAATCACGTAATGGATATTACAGATCAAAAATCGTGTTGTACCGTGTAATTTCTCGCATTTAAGACTCTAGAAGAGTCTTGGAAACATCGAAAGGATTCGCATTTTAATAATTTAATGATTTGAAAAGTTTAAAAGGAGAGGATTTATTCTGTTGACAATTGGATTCAAAATTTTCGAAATTATAGTTATATTTATAGATTTATAGATTTTAAATCATCATATAATGATATAAGAATTAAAAGGAGAGGATATATTTTTTAGCAATTGGATCAAAAATGTATAAAATTGCAGTAGATTTTAAAGTTTGAAATTTCGTAATATATTATGTAATAATGGCGGTAAATAAGCATTAATTCTTTCCACACAAACTTCTTATTAGCGTTGGATTCAGGAGAAATCTAAGGGGGATTAGATAAACTAAATTATCATTTATAAATTTTCTTTCTGATTTATTATCTGCAAATGTTTCCAGGCCCAAGAAATCTAATTCAGCTCTGCTTCTTATTGAAAATATCAACATACGTTAATACATTTATTAACATTATATCTGACGAGATAATTCCGATTGGAATGTCCGTTACAACTTTGGATTGTTCCAAGCAGTTCTAAGTAGGTACGGCAAAAACGGCCTCAGTGTTTACATTCCTTTCCTCGAACTCGAGCCATTGGCTCGATGTCTAAACAGTTTTTGCACACAGATTTTCTTATATTGTACTTATTAGGATTTATGGGTGGAAGTAATAAACAATATTAAAATAATGAAGTATTATATAGAAAAATATTTAATTGTCAGAAAAACTATTGAAGGCTATAGCTGCGATGCTTTAGAATCAAAGGCTTCGTTCGAACTGAAACGAAAACGATCCTGTTTGACGCGCATAAGATTTTAGGAGAATGTTTACGTTAGAACCCTTATCGCTGTTACGGTTGTCAGAAGCAACGTATCCGAAGACTTCTAGTAAAAGAATCTTTAATTCATTTTTGCTTATTCGTTAAAATTAATAGTACTGTTCGTTGCTGGTAAGTTGCCGTCCAATCAAATTCGTTGGCACACGTCCGGTCACACGTATTAGAGTCATGTGGGGCAGGAGTGCGCATTTTTTCTTTGAATCGTTGTAAAATCAAAAATTTCAAGTGGAATGAAATAAAACAAAGTCATTTATTGAAAGTCCTTATTAGTTGACAATTTGAAAAAATAACAATTAAACTTTGTACTCTGTAATTCAAGTGGTAAAGAAAAATAGATCCTTATCAAAATGCGTACACTTAACCCAATGTAGGGGTAGGTATGCGCAGTTGTGCGGGTAAGTGTTTGCAGCATAATAACCCAAATTTTAACGCATTTAATATAACTATAATTAATAACATAAAGATTATCATTTATTTATAAAATACATACATCACATACAAAAATACCCTGCTTATAGGTAGTGCACTGTTCATGCCACCATATATCACAAACGCTACATTTAATCCAGTCCTCTGTGGGTGGATTTACGTACTTCTCACCACATAATGCGCAATAATGATCATCTTCTTTAGTTTCTGTCTTATTTCTAGCAATATTAATCTTAACAGTCTTATCTTTGATAGTATCGGTTTTCTTTGTCTTATTCTTAGTATTTTTGGTAGTCCTAGTAATTTTGGTTGTACATACTCTCTCTAGTTTCAAGTCTAAACGTCACTTTTTCTTGACTATTTTTTTCTCTTCTTCTTGTTTTTTCTTTTCTAACTCCAATTTAAAAAGGTCATCGGTAGCAATTATTGATTTCTTACCTTTTCTTCGTCTGCTTTGTACTGTTGCTTTTGGATATGGTTTTATAGATGATAATGGTATATGTACATTTGTCAGAAATTAAAGCTACAGACATTGGAGCAGCTGATGTTGTAACCACCGCAGCCAAAGTTAGCTCTGTTACAGTGCTGGAGCAGTGTGCTGGTGCTAACAGCATTGGTGATCTTGATTCAGTTTCGGTGGTCAGCGCTGATGCTAGTAGTTTAGATGATACAGATGATGAGGTGCTCGATGTAGACTCTTGTGTTAGTTGTGCAGATGATGTAGGTGGAACATTGACATCAGTAACGAAAGCTGCCGCAAAATCTTCTTCAGAAAAAATGTTTTTATTTATAGGCCATATTCCGCAAACCTTAAATCCCGCAACAGCATTACCGACCGTTGCTGCTTTTTGAAAAGCCTAGATAGGCCACTTCCGTTTGCCCAATGACGCGTCCTGGATGATGACTTAGCCATTTGTCACACTCGTAAGCGAATTTGATTTTCAGTGGACCAAAGAATCCGCGATCCAAGGGTTGCATTTTGTGACTACTGTGTGGTGGAAGGGTAAGCAAATGAATGCCACTGTTGCGACAGTAATCGATAGCAGCCAAAGAAAGATGACTGCTGTGGTTGTCTAATATTAACAACACTGAATTATCTTTTGTTGGCTGTACGTTTTCTTTGAAATGGTGAACATATTCTATAAACAGATCTGTGTTTATGAAACCAGAATCGGAAACCATTCCAATACTTCCTTCAGGTGCATTATTTAGTAGATAACCCTTCATTCTTTTTCGGGGGAATATAAAAGCTGGTGGAACGTAATTTCCCGTTACGTTCATAGCGCAAACTAGTGTGATAGTTTGACCTCTTTCAGCTAAAATTATTTTACCCACCAGCTTTTTCCCTTTCATCGATATAACTTTAGGAATCTTCTTTGGTACAGTATTAATGCCACTTTCATCCATATTAAAGATTCGGCTTGGTGGAAATTTATATTTGTTATAGAGGCTTTGTAAATTATCATAAAATGTATTAACTTGGGTTTGATTAAATCCCATTGCTCTCGCTACACTGGTTGGGGTTGGTTGTCGCAATTTTAATTCAGGATGTCTTTTCAAGAAACTGTACACCCAATCACGCCCAGCCATCTTTGAAGATTGGTTGAAACGATGTGAAATTTTATTTGCTTCGGCGTACTCATAAATCAGTGTTCTGAGACTAATCATATTAAGGTCATAATAAAGATCGTCACATCTTTTTATATAATTAAATATTTCATCTTCTTGTTCAATAGTGAATGTTGAAGAAAATCTTCCTAAACTGACAGCGGTTGATCCAGCTTTTAATCGTTTTCTCAGTGTACTTTCTTTCATTCCCGTTTGGGCTGCTGCTTTTCTTTTACTTGTACCTTGGGAGATCAATAATTTAGCAGCATTGAGTTGATCATTTGTAACAATGCATCTATCTGGAGCCTTCCGCGTATAAATTCGAGGCATATTTTTAATTTATAAAGCGTAGACTATAAATCTGAAACAAAATATTTCACTGTTTACACGGAGCTGTGTAGGTGGGGTAAGTATACGCATGCGCACACTTACCCGACAAGCTTATGCACACACTTAACCTAAGCTATTCAAACGGAATTAAGTTAAAATTGCTCATAATTGCGTTATTTTATCAAGCCTTGTAATGTTACACATCAAAATAGATAAAATGACGTGCGCGTTCATATATAATAAGTATTCAATACCGTAACGCATGTATGTAAGTTTTTCAATTGAAAATGACAAAATATCATAATATATTTAGGAAAAAATTTCACTTACCTTTCTTGACAAAACAATTAAACCGCGACCGGCAGCACATAAGCGTTTCGTTCAATGACGTAACAAGCACTAAAGGGAGTGGGTACCCATTCTTAATTTTAAACTATTTTAGAAATATTTAGTCTGCGCACACTTACCAGCTGCGCACACTTGACCCACATGACTCTATGTTTATTGGCCGAGGCTTTTACATCCACAAATCTATCGCGTGACGAACGTCGCTAAGGACAGACATTGAAACGGAATGAGATGAAGCGTTAGCAAGCGACGATTCGGACGCATTGACGTAGACGTAAATTCGGGATTTACATTATTAAGAAAACAGCAGTTTTTACACTTTCCATAATGCAATTACCATAAATTTTGCGTAATAACAACTGTTGTCAAGAACGAATATTATAAAAAATCCATTAATATCCCCCGCGAATACGGAAATTTTACGCCTATGCAATGTGACCGCTGACTTCTCAAGTTGTGGGTTCCTGGAGGGGATTAGGTGGAGCGAACTCACAGTCCCCTTGCCCCTCCGTCGGATCAGTTTGTCGGTGCTCGGCAACTTACCAGCAACGAACAGTACATTTATTGGCGTGGTTATTCGGTGCGTAACTGACACCTGACACCGCTATTGAGGTTATTCTTTTCTATTTTGTAGTAACGGCCGTCGGTATAACCCCTCAAGGTGATCGAATGTGCGTTATACCAAATTCGGATCTAACGACAATTTATTATATTTTATATATTTATTATATGATTCCTGGAGAATATCATCGACATCATCCATGCAGTAAAGATTCGATGAAAGCGAAACAAACGGAACCGAACTGCAGTGCCGAACAAAAGTATTAGTAAAATCCGGATTTTTATGTAACATCCTGTGTAAAGTTTTAAAATATACGATTTATTATTCAATTCTTTTTGCTGCACTTCGGCTTAGGGCACTAAAAATTTTTGGTTAGAATATATCAAATCTTATAATTTTCGACCTGAAACATTCGAAAATGCAAGTTAAAAGTTCAGGAAATTAATGATTTAAAAAATACAATTACGTAAAATTGTAAGTATTTAACATATTTTTGCAAGTTGTTATGATGCCATATTGCTTCTGCACATATAAATGGCTTGGTTAGGTTAGGGCTATATGAAATTTTACGGTCACGTTAATACAAAATAATTTTTATACATATACAGAGGTGCCCAGTTAGGCCCGATACACACTAGCGGTTCGGTCCCGGTCCGGTCTCGGTCTGGTAAAATCTTACTGCACGACTAGATCCACACTATGGCGGTTCGGTCCCGGTCCGGTAAAATCTTACCGTACAACTAGATCCACACTATTCGGTTCGGTCCCGGTCCGATAAAATCTTACCCCCTACAGATCTAGCGTCCCGAGCACTGTTCAGTCTAGAATCATTCGTGCTCCAAGTCGGATCGAATCGAAAGAAAAAATATCAGAAAGATGCCATTTAATTTTTCAAATAAAGAATTAGCTATTATAGCTATTCTGTTAGATGAAGATGAAAAAAACAGAAGAAATGGAAAGAAAATAAATCGAAAAATGTGGATGCATCCAAGTTTAAAAACGAGACAAAGTGAAGGCGAATATTATACGCTGTATCGTCATCTAATGAAAGATGAAGAAAAATTTATTAAGTATTTTAGAATGTATTCTCGTACGTTTGAAATGGTACTTGCGAAAATTTCCAAGAAAATTTCCAAGAAAAATACCACGTTTCGAAAAGCTATTTCTCCGAGATAAAAATGAATGGTATGTCTAAGGTAAGTAATTGTTTTTATTATATTATATACTCTTATTATATTATACACACAATCTATATACACTTATAAACTACACACACTTATAAACTATATGCACTATGTACACTTATCAGACGTTGTCATTAAAATTATTACAAGCTGGGGGAGCTGTGAACGGATAGAGTGGATCATATTGTGGGTCGACTATATTATTGCTATTGTGGGGTGACTGTAATGGTGGAATGAAATGAGGAGGGGATGTTATGTGATATGACGTGTGCGGTTCGGGTGAAAAATAGTTTTGTTGTTGAGTGGCTGCCGAGGGTGAAAACGATGGAGAAGGTGAACTTAGTACATATTTTTCTTCTATTTCACTAATTAAACTAAACACTCTTGTTTTTACAAGATGCTGATATTTTGCGTCAAAATTCTTAACGGTAGTCGCCATTAATTCGAAAAATGTATCTATTGGATGCACATTCTTCCGTCCGTCTTCTTTTTGGTTTAAAATATATCTCATTAATGTTGTGGAAGCGTTTTCTTCCTGGGTCCTGGCTTTATTTTTTCGTTTCTGTAATAATGGAGTCGATTCTGGTTCTTCAACCCTCCCTTTCTACCCCTTCTTCAATACTTTCATTTTCTGTTATTGATGTTAAACGCGGTCTTTCAACATTGACAAATGTATTTAAGAATTCCATCTGATCAGAGAATCGCCATTTTGTAATTTTCGCTGCGGCTTGTCCGCTTCTGGTTTTTAATTTGGCCAGATATTTCCGGTACTGGCCCCGTAGCGACTCCCAACGATTGCACCTGTAATTAAGGAAATAAAACATTTATTAAATAAAATCAAATCAAATTGTTCAAAAATTTGTTCGAGTTCGCGAGACCGGTTCGGTTTGTAGGATCGGCAGTGAGACGGGAAATGAACGCACTTGAATTGCACAAAAACAATGTATTTACAGAGCATAAATATATACACTATATACAGTATGTACAACACGAAGATCGTTGATCGTATCAATTCACCCGCGTCGCGGTGAATAAGAGATTGAGATCGCGCTGTATTAAAACCACGTGTTGGTGCAACACGTGGTCACCACGAAATTCTATTAATTTCGTGGATTTATAGAATTACGGAACTCGTGAGTTCGCGTTAGCCGTTGGCTTGTTCAATCGCGTCGCGAGAGTGAGATTTTAGATTTGTAGCTAGCTTGAGATGTGATTTCATCAATAACTGAACTTCGCACGTGCTTTTCGTATGCTGAACAGAACGATAATGGCCGCTCAACCGGCTTCGTCGCAGCGAGAACCGTTGGATTTCTTCTCGCTGACGTGACGCTCGCTGATTGGTCGGCCTGACCGGCATCCAAGGTGGCTGCCTGTCGCGCTGCTAAGTGCTGCCGCAGTCTGCGTGAAGGCGGTAGAAATTACATTTTCGAACACAAATCAAATTGAATATTAATTTTATTGACCGTTTTGTATTTTCAAATTTTTAGCTACTGGAGATTCCTATCAAACGATTGCTTTTAGCTATCGTCTTGGTCATTCAACCGTACGAAGTATTTGTCTTGACGTTTGTAATGCAATTAATGAAATATTATTAGCTGAATATATTCCAACTCCATGTAAAGAGAAGTGGTTAGAAATAGCAAATGAAATGTGGACTATGTGGAATTTTCCAAACTGTCTAGGAGCCCTAGATGGCAAACACGTGACAATTCAGGCTCCTGCAAATAGTGGTTCACTATATTTTAATTACAAAAAATCGTTTTCAATAATACTTTTGGCATTGGTAGATGCCAATTGTAAATTTATTGCCGTGGATGTAGGCTCGTATGGGAAAAATAGTGATGGTGGAATTTTTGCGAATTCTGTTTTTAAAAAAAATTTAGAAAGTGGCAAATTGAATGTTCCCGAGGATTCCCCGCTGCCAGGAACAAACACAATAGCACCTTATGTAATATTAGGCGATGAGGCGTTTCCATTAAAAAAATATTTAATGCGGCCATACCCAGGGTCAAAAAGCATAGAGGACAATGAAAAAAGAATATTTAACTATCGACTATGCAAAGGAAGACGATTAGTCGAATGTGCATTTGGAATGTTGTCACAAACATTCTGAATTTATTGTCGAAGACTGATAGCTGAGCCTCAAAATGCCGCCACAATTATTTTAACAACATGCATCCTCCATAACATCATTAGAAATAGTCGTGATATAAATTTAGAATATATTGAAACAAATCGTGTAAATAACATACAGAGACACGGTGGAAATGCACAGAGTGAAGCGTTTGAAACAAGGAAAATTTTTAAAAACCTTTTTAATTCTCCTGTAGGCTCAGTGCCGTGGCAACAGGACAAAATAATGTAATGAAATTTATTTAATAAATTACTAATGTCTTTTCAAAATGTTTATAATTATATATTTGTATTGAATTTTTCATTTTATTTACCAGATTGACCTATCGCTTTTTCAATTTCGTTCCACACTTGTTTCTTATAATTACTGTCACTGTAACTAGGTGACTGCAAATCATAGAGACCTGGGCTAGTTTTCACCAATTCAATTAGCATTTCATCTTGTTACGTTGCGCGCGAGCGACGGCGGCGCAACGTAAAAAGGAAAGAATAATTAATTAGTGGATTTTTAGGTAGTTAAATTTCAATTAATTGGTTGGAATTCAACCCCTAATTCCTGCTTCCCTATTTTAGCGCGATGGTTGGTATCGCTGCCACCAGTCTCGAGCGTATTAACGCTCTCGACAAATTAAAAGACGAAAGACAAAATTGATAAGATATTAAAAGATTATAATTACTAGCCTTTCGTTGGGTTCGTTCAGCGCTTGGTCCCGTACGGGACCCTCCTTGAATCTGGGTATGTTGGTAGGCGTGTTTTAACTGAAACGTGTGAGGTGTGTTCGAAATAAAAGGAAACTGTTTAACTAAATGAAACTGGTTTAATCGTGAATGAAAATCAGATAATTGCCAAAATTATGAGTTCAATAATTTAGAAATTTGGTTAAATTGAAAATTACCAGTTCTGCAAAAATGTGAACAAATGTAAAGATGCTTAAGATTAGTTAACAAGGTATATATATATATATATGAATATAAAACACTCTGATATCACATTTGAAACCGACGAGTATATTACCGGGCGCGTAAAAATGTTTATAACAATTTCGCTCTCCGAATTTAACTATACGATTGGCGGTTTCCGCCTGCGGTACACCCCAGTCTGAGAAATTCTCGTAACTCTCGAAAGAGCTGGACTAAGGTGCCCTTCGGATGATGGAAAGAGACTGGAATTGCGAAATTGTAATAACCGAAAATAGTATTTAATAATGGATGATATCAATACCTCGTACGGTGGAACGATCTGACCTGAGGAATTCTCGTAACCCTGAAGGGCTGGACCAGATCGCCCGTTTTGCCAATTGAATAACGTCGTGATCGAAAAATGTAACTGAAACGACTTACCGTTACGGTGTACAATAAAATACAAGGTAATTCGCTTGCTAGTTTTGGTGTAATCGCTCGATGATCTGGAACACCAAAGAAACGGTAAGATCGTCGATCACTGCACTTGTCGCGGCGAGAAACGGATTATTACGGACGAGTACGTCGACGAGAGACAAACGAATAACGATTTACGATTAATTACGATTACAACGAATATAATTACGCGGGGTGAAGTTAGTACGAAGAACTACGCGAGCAAACGATTTAAAATCGGAAAGAAAAGATAGAAATTTAGGTAGAAGGAAGATTTTACGTGCGCGTCTGTGAGTCCTTATTCAGAATACCGATTATTTTAACTCGCACGGCACTCTGCCTCGCTACGCGGAGGACTTTACCGCAGAGAAAATATCGCGAATTTCCGAATAACTCTGTCTCTCGGACACACGGGCTCCCGATCACGTACTTACGATTGATCGATCAAGAGTGACAAATTTCGTGCGCGATCGACGGCCGAAGGGCCCGTCGCGCGAACATCGTCCTTGGAGGGGACGGTTTGGCGAATCGTAGCCCGTTTTCGGAAGTGTCGCGTGCCCGGTGATTGGCTAAGACGCGCGAGCTAGACGAAGATCTTTCATCCCCTTTCTTTGGTGTTCCTTCCTTTTCTCATTCGTCGCCATGATAGTTTCAACGGTTTCCAGAAACTACGCAGTATTTCTCTTTATACATATAATTAATTAACGGCATTTATTCGA